TGTTCTTCGCCGCCACATTGATCAATTACGTGTGAGGCGGGACTCACCTGGGGTTCCTCCTCAGTCTCCTCTAGGGGGGGAGGAGGAATGGGAAATGCATTCTGAGAATCAGAATCTGCTGCCAACAACGGTTGTGGGGAACGACACGGGCTCTCAACACCCAAGTTCCACTGGAGATTCAGGTAGCAATTCATGGGGATGGGGGCACACAGACACCCCCACACACACTCCAGCCTGGGAGTCTCACCGGAGGTATACTAACTATCCACACCTCACAAACAATACTCAAGACACGGAGAATCACTGGGAGCATACTCACAACTCACAACATGCAAGAGAGCAGGCAAAACAGAGGGGAAACACATCCTTTGCTGAAATGGCCAATAGAAGGATGTCCCCACGCATAAGGGCTAACAGGGAGGCATCCCTAAACCCTCACACTACAGGAAGGAGCCAGGAAAACCACACTCCGTCAGGGAACACGGAGATGAGTTCAGAGGGGTTGGAAAACTCCATAGGTGGTAGGTCAACCGGGTATAGTGATCAACAGAGTTCTGACTTCTCAAGCCTAAGAGACGGGCAGGAAAGTCAAACTGAAGTCACACAACAACCACAAGGAAATTCACCTAGTGTGGGAAGCCACGGGGAAAACACTACAAGTTCCCCAGGTCCGAGAAGGTCGCTCAGGGTCAAAGGCCCTCCCAAATACCTTGCGGATTACATAAGGTGGACAGGTGAACTGCAATCACTGAACTAGAGGTTCTGACTGGTTGGCACTACGTAAACGATGTTGGGGCTACTGGGTCTTTGTATGACGGAACAGTTCCACATCATACACACACTGTGTAACTTAACTTATCAGTTAACTATATAACCATCACTATGATGGCGTCCATGTGGGCGCCGTCTTATTTCATCTAGGGGGGAGGGGTGTTGTGTCCTGAGCCTGCAAAAGCAGGCTCGGGACATTGCAAGAGTCCCGGGTATTTGCAAAAGCTGCCCGGGACCAGACTGAGTGGCGCCGGCCTTGTGCGCATGCGCAAGGCGGGAAAAGACCGCCTCATGATTGGTTGAACTTGCCTGGGGATTAGAAGGTATAAATAGAGGCCTGCGTGCCTCTGCTCGGGTTGTTCATAGAATGGAAGCAGAGAATAAAGACTTGTTAGAAATGCTTCGTCTCAAGCGCCATTATTCTCCGGACTTAACAGCCTAGTCTAATGAAAAGAAGGATTAGGGGAAAGATGTTAGCAGTGTTCCAGTATTTGAGGGACTGCCACAAAGATGAGGGAGACAAACTATTTTCCAAAGCACCGGAAGGCAAGACAAGTAGCAATGGATGGAAGCTAATCAAGGAGAGAAGCAACATAGAACTAAGAAGAAATTTCCTAATGGTGAGAACATTCAACCAGTGAAACTAATTGCCTTCGGAAGTTGTGGGCACCCCATCGCTGGAGGTTTTCAAAAAGAGACTTGACAGCCGCTTGTCTGAAATGGTATAGACTCTCCTGCTTCTACAGGGAATTAGACTAGATAACCTCCAAGGTCCCTTCCAATTCTCTTATTCTATGTTCTATATTCTAAGATGTCAGATAAATTCTTGATAGATTAGTAATGATTCTCCCTTTCAGAAGTTTGAGGTAGGCACTGGGAGATCTGTTAACTTGGATTTTTTACTTGGAGTTGTTAGAACATAGTGAGAACCACTTTTTTAAAAAAAGAGAAAACAGTAATTGCCATGTGAAAAACCATAAACACAAAGATGCAGCCAACTGGATTTCTAGAAAGTGATATTAAGGATGGTGCAATCTCAAAATACGAGTGAGAACTAAAAATAGGGGTCATCCAAAGGAGCCAGTGTGGTTGAATAGGCAGCTCATGAAGGAACTAAATTGTAGAAGGAAGAATTGACTAAAGAGAGAATCTTCAGAGCTTCAGTTTGGAAATGTAGAAATGAGGTAAGACGACAAAGATTAAAAGCAAGCTAAAGCTTAGCAAGATAGGCAAAATCAAGCAAGAAGGATTTCTTTAGTTATATCAGTAACACAAAGAAGACAGGATTTTTATTTTGGACTGCTTATTCCAAACGGAAACATCTTAATAGATGGTCAAGAGGAAGCTGACATATTCAGCTCCTGTTTTGTCTTTGTCTTTCAAAGCAGGTTTGGTATAATGGTTAGGGCAACAGGCTATAAACAGGGAGTCTGTGAGTTGTAGTACTGCCTTATACATGAAGCCAGTGGGTGTCCTTGGGCCAGTTCCTCTTTCTTAGCCTTAGGAAGGAGGCAATAACAAACCACTTCTAAAAATCCTTGCAAAGAAAACTGCAATGAGTTGTCCAGGCAAAAGCCAGGATTCAAAAAAGATTCAAAGGGACAAATATTGAATTACTTACTTTACACCCACAAAAATGTGATTGTGTAGATTAGGAATTAAGGAGTTACAAATTAGTAAGAATGAAGTAAAGCTAATCTAAACATTTACATTCACATTCCAAGCCATGATGGAATATACTTAGAATATTGAAAGAACTGGTGGAAGAACTGATAGGACCTTTGTCAATTGTCTTGTCACTGTTTGACAAAGCTGCTATTATGGTTCCAATAGATGAGACCAGTAGAAATAAGAACTCTGAGGCAATTGCTTTCCTCAAAGAACACTTTTAATGGCTACATAATATCAGCAGGAACAAAGGTGAAACCAAGACTGAAAGTTACCCCCCCCAAAAAAGGTTATAAAGTAAAAGTTGAACTCCCCACCCCTTAATGTGTCATAAATCACAATCCCCAATTACCATCTTTGGTGGGCTTCCTAACGGTAGCTCCAGCCCACCAAACATTTAGACTGCTTGACCTTGGTTCCTACAAGAAAGTTATTGTTTTGACTAAACTAAAAGAATGCATCTCCCCCCCCCCATTGCTGTGGCAACCGAAAAGCAAAGAAACATGGCGGAATTCGGAGCATTTGAAGGTTTGACAGCTGCGAGCGAAAGCAGGTACAAGCAACTATGGAGTTGATGCAGGTTTGTCAATAAAGGGAAGCTACAGTGAACATGGTCAGGAATTCCCAAAGGTATTTTTTTCAGGAGGCAACTGGATTTTCTTGTGTTTCTTTTGAAGACATTTCGCTTCTCATCCAAGAAGCTTTGTGTTTCAATTTGAGATTCTGATAGCACAGACTCATCCCCAATAGCCTGTGCCTGTTTCTAACAGTGAAGGGACATAGGGCAGAAAACACCCTGCAGCCAAGAAAGATCCACACACATTTGCACTTCTCAGGTTACCCTGAGGACACAGGTAAACCTCTAAAATGGTTTCAATGACTCTCTAAAAGAATGCTAATGACCAGCTGTCTACAAAGAATATACCTATCCATTACCTACAAAGAATATACCTTCCATTACCTATCATCCAGTCAGAGCTGAAGAAGATTCTTGGGTGAGAAGCGAAACATCTTCAAAAGAAACACAAGAAAGTCCAGTTGCCTCCTGAAAAAAGCACCTTTGAGACAAACATACTTGGATGACTTGAGGATCTCCATAGACATGGTCAAGAATTATTTTTCCTTGCCACAAAAAATCAGTACTAAAAGTAATGAAAGCTACCAACATTTCATTTATAACAGAATAACAGAGTTGGAAAGGACTTAGGAGGTCTTTTAGTCCAGCCTCCTGCTCAAGCAGGAAATCCTATATCCTTTCAGACAAATGGCTGTTCTGTCTCTTCTTAAAAGCCTCCATTTCCCTTTTTTTAAAAAGGAAAAATGTCTTGATGATTTACTAAGGAAGCTTGTGGCTTTGTTATCTTTGGAAGTGCTTTACATGAGATGAGTAAGCCACATCTCTAGGATGGTTTAATTAGTTTTCTTGCATATTACAAGGGTTGGATTCCCTTATGATCACTTCCAATTCCAGAATTCTATGAACTGATTCAAGTATAACATGCATCCAAAACTGAACAACTAAATAAGGAGTTTTTGATATTCTGATTTATGTGTATTAGTTATTAATAAAATATGCATTGTGATAGCTATAACATGTGTTTCAGCGCTGTATTTTTACCTTTGGTAATTTAACTATCAAGTAATTTTGAGTAAAGTTACTATAATACCTTCAGAAGCCACCCTGTCTCCCATTATTCTTTCCAAGATTCCACGTGGAAGTTTCTCAAATGCTTCATTAGTAGGTGCAAAAAGTGTATAATGTCCAGGCTTCCCTAAAGTTTCCATTACATCTGATGCAAAGGCAGCAGCCTATGAAAAATAGGGAATAAGGAATCTTTTAAACTCTTATGCAAAAACAGTATAGTTATATTTTTAAATATTGCCAATTTTCTTTGACATGATACCAAAATACATGGTAATTAACTGTACTGAAAAGTTTCCTTAGCATAAAATTTAATTGCAAGATGATATATTTATATACATGCAAACTGTATGTTACTTAAAGTAATTCCTACTGAATTGGGACACGTTTTCCTTTGTGAAGATATGAAGGAGCTAGCAGAAGAAATATTAGAACAATTAAACCATATCTTGGAAAACTGGAGAACTACCAGAAAACTGAAAAAGAGCTGATGTGGTTCCCATCTTCAAGAAAGGGGAAAAAACAGATCCAGGAAACTATAGACCATCAATACCTGGGAAGATTCTGGAAAAGATAATCAAGCAACAAATCTGCAAATAACTACAAGCAAGCAAAGTTATAATCAGTAGCCAACATAGGTTTGTCCAAAATAGAACATGTCAAACAAATCTTATTTCAATGAAGGAGAATATTTGTAGTTCAGGGTTGAAATGAGGGGTCCTTGGGTCTCTCTGAGATTATTATATTATTATTATTATATTTAAATTTATATCCCGCCCTTCTCCTCGCGGACTCAGGGCGGCTGACAATCAATTAAAATACATAAATGACAATTACAGATTTAAAATTAATTAAAAAGAAATATTTTAAACATAGTCCAATTAAAATATAATTAAAACCCCTCTAAAAATTACCCTAGGCCAGTCCTGCAAGCTGGAATAA